GCTTCCTGGGCGCCCTGGAATCGCGGCGGCGCGCCTGGCGTGGGCCATGGAGGACGGCGTGCTGAAGGAGGGCTTCCTCGTGAAGCGGGTGAGTGTCCCCGAGCGTCGCCCCACCTGCGGGAGGGCACCGCGCGCCCAGCTCGGGTGCTGCGGGGGGGGGGGTCCGTCTGTCGGGCTGTGTGCCCGCGGGGACCACAGGGTGGCACGTCGATGCTGGCACCAAGGCAGATTCGGGGGTGCGCGAGGGAGGGGGACCAGCACCGGCCAGGGAGAGATTTCTAGCGTGGTCTGTGAACTTTGTGGTGCACCCCCCCATCCCCACAGACAGACAGACAGACAGACAGACAGACCCCAGTACACACACACACACTCACACACACACACACACACACACGAACACACACACGAATACCATGACTGAGAGGCAGGGAGGAGGTGAACAGGTACAGAAGTGCAGTTGGAAAGAAAGAAAACTTCTAGTGTTTGGTTTAACTCATTGGGATAACTATGGCTGCTAACCATTTGGTGTATATTTTAAAATAGCATTAGAGACTTTTGAGGTGGCAGATCTATCTGTTATCCTGATCTGATCATTACACATTGTATACGTGTATTGAAAAGTACATGTATTGATAGGTACAAATAGTATGTCAACTTAAAAACAAAAATAAAAAAGAAATTATGAGTTGTATACTATTTACATACATTGGATTAAAGCAAGGAGCCTGTGTCCTATAGTTTACCATATGGGAGGAAGGAGAAATACTGTTGTATCTTTTCTTTTTGTCCATCATGGGGCTTGAACTCTGGGCCTGGGCACTGTCCCTGAGCACTTCAGCTCACTCTACCACTTGAGCCACAGCACCACTTCCAGTTTTCTGGTGATTCCAGATAAGAGTCTCATGGACTTTCCTGCCTGGGTTGACTTTGAACTGCAATCTTTAGATCTCAGCCTCCTGAGTAGCCTGGATTACAGGTATGAGCCACCGGGTCCTGGCTTGCTGTTGTTTTTTTTAGACAGTCTTGCACATTGTCTTGAATAAACATCCCAAAAGCCCTTTTGCCAAAAGGCAAACGAAAGCTGGAAAACTGGGAAAGGTTAAATGACTTGCTCTGGGTTATGGAGAAAGTCAGTGGTGGAGCCAATATCAAAGCCCCTCAGGCTGCCTCTGCCACAACCTCCTCTGACTCTTCCTAGCTACCAAGTACCATGTACAATGGGTATTGCTACAGATGAAGAAATTAGACAGGAGTTAGAGGGTTAGACAGATGCGGCAGCGTGTCCAGAGCTAGTGTGACATGGCATGAGAACTCTTCAGTCTTTCCCCATCACCTCACGTTGCCCACCAAAAGCAAGGGTCCAATCAAAAACAGAATGTCTAGCCGGGTGCCAGTGGTTCATGCCTGTAATCCCAGCTACTCAGGAGGCTGACATCTGAGGATCATGGTTCAAAGCTAGCCCAGGCAGGAAAGTCTGTGAGATTCTTCTCTCCAATTAACTACCAGAAAACCAGAAGTGGTGCTGTGGCTCAAGTGGTAGAGCACTTGCTTTGAGCTGACGAGCTGAGGGACAGCACCCAGGCCGAGTTTAAGCCCCACAACAGACAGAACAAACGAACAAACAAAAAACCCAGGTTATCTGGGATTGAAGTAGACAATGATTGAAAGAGCAGCTGAAAGAGGAAGTCAGATACTTTAAAAATTATTTTTAGGGCTGTAGCTCTGTGGTGGAGGCTTGCTCAGCATGCATTGAGATCCAGGGTCTGATTTCTAGCACCCAGAAAAATAACTTTAACTTTGATATTAACTCAAACTTGAACTTTGATAAATTTGGGCCTGAAACTTTTGACTTTTCTGACTTTATACCTTTGAGAGATAACAAGGGACAAAGAGACCATCCCTCTCACTCACTGCCTCACCTGGTGGTCTTCTCAGCTTCATCAGCCGAAAAGGTTCAAGGCATGTTCATATACCATGTTTGCTTTATGTTGCTCCGTATTTGATTAGGAGGATAGGTGTAGTTTGCACGAAGCTATAAGCAAGGAGGGTAAGAAGCTGAGGCCAGATCAAGGTTCAGAGTGGATATAAGCCTGTCCACAATAGCAAGCCCACTCTGTGTTCTCCTGAGTGAACTGGAAGGGTCCCTTGGGGGGTCTGTGGCGGGGGCTGCACCTCAGAGTGACAACAGGTGAGGAACTTCTGCCGCTTCTCACTGTCTTGTCGCTTGTAGGGTGATGGTGTGAATTTTGGTTTATTGTTGGTTGCTGGACTCTGGTTAGGGGTCTATGGAAGAGTGGAGTTGACTAGAGAGCAAACCCTTCAGATGGGGGTGTGTGGGTCTCCTCCTGCACCCCAGGAGATATTTGCATGACAGTTAGAGGGCTAATGGGTGCAGGGCCAAAATGTGGACAGGCAGGGAGGATGGGCATGTTCTTCTGCATGATCTAGTTAGGGGATCCAGGATGCAGACAAGTGAGGCAAGTCAGCAGGTCTGTCCTAAAGCTTATGGAAAAAACAGGGCTAGGCTGAAACCCTCCCCCTCAATGAGACAAACCCAAAGGGATTTAAAGCCTGACCCAGAGGCAAATGGAAGCCAGACCCAATCCCGCCCAGTGCGGGAGGCTAGCCCCAACACCCTGGCTGTGGTCACTATCTGCTGATCCAGCTATCACTGCTCTGTATCTCCTTTACTCCCAGAAGGAACAGAAGTCCTGTCCATGGGAGAGGTTTCAGGGCTGTAATAGCAGGAGTCGGAAGGTTTGGAGAGTTTATAGCCTAGAGGTAGGACAGGCCTGAGCTGGAAGCCAGGGAACAGAACAGTTATCAAGGGGCCATGCTGGAGTCAGGCAGGCAGAGGCATGAAGGATTTGGCTCTTAATCTGGTCCTGACAAGAAAGAAACCAGCTCCAAGCAAAAGGCAGGAAGCTCAATGGGTTTGGCTCTCTGGGAAGGAAAGGGCAGGAAGCCCAGGGCAGTGGGCTGGACTGGGTTGGACTGCTCTGCTTGGGAAGACAGCTGCTGGCCTCATAGTTCAGAGCAAAATGATGCTTTGCCCTGAGAATTGCACTGGTAGGTGTCTACCTTCAGAAGTACTGTACAAGCTTGATGAACAGAATGCTATTTATAAACCTGGAAATACAAACATGACCCTTCAAATAAGCACATGATTAGTTAGATGGCGGTTATGCATATAGTAAAAGGGCTTATAGTACTAGAATCTAAACAGTAAAAAGATACAAGATATGAGTAAAAGAAAAAAACATAATAGAAAATACACAGAAGGGGTTCTGAAGGCTGGAAGTTCCAAAGGCCAGGTGTGGGCAAGGCCTTGTTCAGCACTTCTGAGACTGGTCAGGAGAGGTTTTACCTGGCTAGCTTCTGGTGCTTGCTGACAATCTGGGGATTCTTTGGCTTATAGATCCGTTGTTATATGAGCACATGATTGTCATCTTCCCATGTATTTCTCAGCGTCTAAAATTTTCCTCTTCTCTAAGGCTACCAGTCATATTGCATTAGTGCCCAACTCTATGTGACTTCATCTTAATTTGATTACATCTGCAAAGATCTTATTTCTAAGTGTCACATTCACAGGTAGGTTAAGACTTTTTTTTCTTGTCGTTCATAGGGCTTGAACTCTGGGTCTGGGTGCTGTCCCTCAGCCCTTCAGCTCAAGGCTAGCGCTCTACCACTTGAGCCACAGCACCACTTCTGGTTTTCTGAGTGGCTATTTGGAGATAGAGTCTCACAGACTTTCCTGCCAGGGTTGGCTTTGAACCATGATCCTCAGATCTCAGCCTCCTGAGTAGCTAGGATTATAGGTATGAGCCACCAGAGCCCAGCTAGATTAGGATTTGAGGGAATTTAAAGTTCATCCCATAATCAATGCCATCTCTTTCTTTTTTAAATCTTGGGTAAGGCCTTCTTGGTCTCTATTTCCTCATCTTTAAAATAGCTACGTAGGAGGCTGAGAGCTGAGGATCGTGGCTTGAAGACAGCCCAGGCAGAAAAGTCCATAAAACTCTTATCCCCAATTAACTACCAAAAAATCCAGAAATGGAGCTTGTGGCTCGAGTGGTAGAGCACCAGCCTTGATGCAAAAGCTAAAGGACAGTGCCCAGGCCCTGAGTTCAAGCCCCAACACTGGCACAAAAAGAAACTCTCACCTTTTCCATAGTCTAGCTTGTGTACTTAGCACAGATACAGAATTATCAGGTCAAGGGAGTTGAATACATTTATGAGTGTCATCAGCTCTTTTGAATTTGATTCAGACATATCAAATCATCCGTCATTAACCTTTTTTTTTTTCTTTTGTCAGTTGTGGGGCTTGAACTCTGGGCTTGGGCGCTGTCCTTGGCGCTCTTCAGCTCAAGGCGAGCACTCTACCGCTTGAGCCACAGCGCCGCTTCTGATTTTCTAGTGGTTTTTTGGAGATAAGAGCTCATGGACTTTCCTGCCTGGGCTGGCTTTGAACCACGCCGCTCAGATTTCAGCCTCCTGAGTAGCTGGGATTACAGGCGTGAGTGACCGGGGTCCGGCTGTCATCAACCTTTCTTCTCAAACTTCTCTCCTTTGCTGTCAGCCTTCACTACTTGCTCATTACCCGTTCTGCTCTGGTGAGTGAACCATGGAGATTTCACTGAGGATATTAAACAAGCCAGAAATCTGGGTGCAGCTAGACAATCAAGCTGCAGTGTTAACAAAGCTGGGGAGGAGGTGGTCCCATAGAAATGCCCAGTGGCTCTGAAGCCAGCATCATTCCTATCAGAAGATGTTGGATACTGTCCTTACTCATTTCATGGCTTGGCTGTCAGAAGAAACTGTACCTCTACTGCTGTCCTCACCAAAGTTTCTAATTCGCCATAGAGTAGCAGTGCTCTATGCTTATGATTAGCAGAAGCTTGGTCATCTCTTGTCTCCCTAAGTGCAAGGGATTCCTAAAAGTATAACATTTTGTCCAAGAGAGAACACCACCGCTATGCTGTATTTATGCTCGCCATCTGTTGGTTAGATTCTCTCCCCCTATACCTCAACTCCCTTCCTCTTCTCCCTATTGCATTAGGGTGCCAGGGCCACCAGAGTGAGATGGAGCAGCTTCCTTTCTTTTATACATCAGAAGTCAGTTTCTTTGTGTTCCAGAGGCTGGAACTCAGATGGCTCAGATCAAGGTTTAGAGAGGTTTGATTCCTCCTGAGGATTTTCCTCTCAGTTGCTGATGGCTTCGTGCCTGTGTTTGCAGTCTTTTCTGGGTCTGAACACATCCCTAGTGGTGTTTCTCTGGGCCCAAACTCCTCTTCCTTACAAGAGCAGCAGTCCAGATTGGACTTTGGCTCTATTTTAACTTAACTAACTCTTCAAAGTCCCTATTTTCTTTCTTCCTTTTTTTTTTTTTTGGTGGTCATGGGACTTGAACTCTGGGCCTGGGCGCTGTCCCTCAGCTCTTCAGCTCAACGCGAATGCTCTACCGCTTGAGCCACGGCGCCACTTCTGGTTTTCTAGTGATGTATTGGAGATAATAGTCTAACTGACTTTCTTGCCCAGGCTGGCTTTGAACTGTGATCCTCAGATCTCAGCCGCCTGAGTAGCGAGGATTACAGGCGTAAGCCACTGGCGTCCGGCTTCAAAGTCCCTATTTTCAAATACAGTCATATGCTGAGTTTATTGGGGTTACAGCTTCAGCAGATCAATGTAAAGGGGCACACAGTTCATTCCATCGACTCAGGATGTATTATTCTCTCCCTCCACCAGCTACAGCTTTGTATGCCAGCAATCGACTGCCTTAAATCTGTGTGAGTGTGTGTGAGTGTGTGTGTGTGTGTGTGTGTGTGTGTGTGTATGAATGTTGGTTCTGGGACTTGAACTAAGGGCCTGGGTGCCGTCCCTGACCTTTTATGCTCAAGGCTAGTACTCTACCACTTTGAGCCATAATGCCACTTCAGCTTTCTGAAGAGTCTCAGACTTTCCTGCTCAGTCTGGCGTCAAATTGCAATCCTTGTATCTCAGCCTCCAGAGTAGCTAGGATCACAGGCGTGAGCCACCAGTGCCCAGTCCGCCTTGAATTCTTAAGCACCCAGACACCCCAGACCAGCCATGCCAATGTTCCCAAACCTCCTCAAGTAGGGTGCTTGTAGGAAATGGGGACTTGGGCCTAGATTCTATGGGTAGCTGTAGAGAGTCAGATCCAAATCTTTTTTGCTTCTTTAAACTTGTGTGCATGTATCAGGTAAAATTGTCAACCTCAGGCTACATCTAGATTCTCCTTCAGGAAGAAAGCTAAGAGAGCATGCTCTAGTCAGATTGACTTTGTTACAAGCTTTGTTTGGTTGCCATAGTAAATTCTGCTTGGGTTCAGATCAGTACCCAACCAAGCACAGTAGTGTGCACACACAGCTCTGGTACAGACTGGTCCTTCCACAACTGATTCTCTAACCCCTCACAGTATAGGCCAGGCATGGAATGGTCACAGCACTGCACCTGTGAGAAGGGATGGAAATGAGTGAATTAGGGGAAGGCTTTGATGTGGGTAAAGTACATCTCTTAGGATTAAAACCGTATCCTAAAGTGGAAAATATGCCAAAGTGCTTTTCTTTTGTTTTCTTTCTTCCTTCCTTCTTCCCTTTCTTCCCTCCCTTCCTCTCTCCTTCCTTCCTTCCCTCCTTCTTTCCTTCCTCCCTCCCTCCCTTCTTTTTTTTCTTTTTCTTTCTTGCCTTCTTTCTTGTACTGGAATTTAAATTTGGAGCCTCAAGCTTGCTTGGCTTGTTTGCTCGGTTGACTGACATTATACCATTTGAGTCATACCTCCAGCTGGCTTTTTTTGCTAGTTATTTTGGAGATGAAGTTTATTAGACTTTTTTTTTTTTGGCCTGGACTGACTTTACACCATGATCCTCTGAATCTCAGCCTCCTGAGTAGCTAACATTACAGACCTGAGTCACCAGCTAGCATTACAGACCTGAGCCACCAGCACCTAAGAAGGTTTTTTCTGAGTGTGTGCCAAGCTCATTCCTTTCTGATCACTCCATAAACTTTCCTCCATCCACTGGTCTGTTCTAGAAAGAAGCTCTCTGCCCATACCCAACTATCTTGAATGTTTGCTTCATGATTCACTTGGGAATCCCCCCAAACTACCTTCCAATACTTGCCACTGTTGATTAGGTAAGACTATGAAGGCCCTTAGTACTGCAATACAGTCATAGATCAACTTTACAGATAGCTCACATATTTTGACTAGTAACAATTTCTCCAAGAATTATATTTCAACGTGAAAATAAAGCACAGGTACAGATTAAAATATATACAACAGAAAAGTGGTAAATAGGGGCTGGGAATGCAGCTCAGTGGTAGCTTGCCTTGCATTCATGAGGCCCTGGGTTCGATTCTTCAGCACCACATAAGCAGAAAAAGCTGGACGTAGTGCTCAAGTAGTGGCTCAAGTGGTAGAGGGCTCACCTTGGGCTGAAGAGCTGAGGGACAGCGCCCAGGCCCAGAGTTCAGGCCCCATGACTGGCAAAAAAAAAAAAAAGAAAAGAAAAGTGGAAAGTAAATTATACATTCACATAGTGATGACTGAAGAATATATTTTAAGAAACTTAATTCTGTGAGACAGTGCTCAGCATGAGAACACAAAGCTAAAAAATATAGATATATGTAATATTGTCCTAATTAAAAAAATCATAAAGTAAAGGCAAATGGAAAAAATACAAGAAGAAAATACCAAATATTAGTGATGATGGCTGTCTCCTAGTAGCAGATTATAGGGATTGATTATTCTCTTCCTTATATGTTGCAGTTTAAGACTTATGACAAGAAGTTACAGGTGTATCTCAGAGGTAAAGTGGTTAATATATGAGAGGCCCTGAGTTCAATCCCTAGCTCTACACACACACACACACACACACACACACACACACACACACACACACACACACATTTATAATGGGAGAAAAATCAAATAAAACAAGTCCAATAGGAAGTAGAAGGTTAATGCCAGAGGTTTTGGTTACATCTCAAAAGAGATGACTAAGAGAGAGCCAGATTCAGATTAAAGTACTGTTGGACAGCTGTGTCTCTGTAGAGTCTGGTTGCTTGAGAAACAGGATTCCTCTCCCTGCTCGTAATTTTCTCCCCTCAACCACCTCTCCTCTTGCTTTCTTTCCTGTCTGTCCATAGGGTCACATTGTCCACAACTGGAAGGCACGGTGGTTCATCCTTCGGCAGAACACATTGCTCTATTACAAGCTTGAGGGTGGTCGGAGAATGACAACCCCCAAGGGCCGGATCCTTCTGGATGGCTGCACTATCACCTGCCCCTGCCTGGAGTATGAAAACCGACCAGTAAGTGATTGACTCTGCTGTCTAACTTTCTGTCCAAGCTGCTCCTCCTGGATCCCGCCCCCCACCCCTCTTTGGTCTCTTCGGGGAAGTTGGGCCATGGAAAGAGCTCAGAGATATAATTGAATGATTTACATTCAAATCCTGGCTCTGCCACAAACCATGTTTGTGACTTTGGGCACGTTGTTAAACCTCTCTTAGCTTCCATTTGTCATCTAAAAAATGAGATAAAATGATTGGGCCTGAATATCTCACATGATCTGATGAGGATATCATGAAAGTTTTGTTTTTTGTTTTTGTTTTTTGATCTGGTCTTGGGGCCTGAACTCTGGGCCTGGGCGCTGTCCCTCAGCTCTTCAGCTCAAGGCTAGCACTCTACCACTTGAGCCACAGTGCCACTTCCGGCTCTTTTCTTTTTTGCCTATGTGGTGCTGAGGAATCGAACCCAGGGCCTCAGGCATGCAAGGCAAGCGCTCTACCACTGAGTCAACTTCCCAGCCCGATCATGAAAGTTTTGGTCTGTTACTAAAAACAACAACAACTTCATAACTGCTGGGTACTGGTGGCTCAAGCCTGTCATCCTAGCTACTCAGGAAGCTGAGATTTGAGGATTGAAGTTCAAAGCCAGCCCAGGCAGGAAAGTCCATGACACTCCTATCTATTGACCAATTAATTAGTTTAAATCTCTTAATCAGCAAAAAGCTAAAAGGTATATTATGGCCCAAGTGGTAGAGCACAAGCCTTGAGTGGAAAAGCTAAGGGACAGGGTCAAGATCATGAGTTCAAATCCAGTACTGGCACAAGAATTAAAAAAAAGAGAGAAAGTCTTTCTTAGGAGACCACATATATCCAGTCACTGGATGATTTCCAAATGAATCTGTAAGGATCCATTGTTGGCAAGGGGCTTGGTGTATATGGCTTGGATCAACTGTGACTGTATCATTTCTCCTGCCAATAGTCTCTTTCCTGCTCTGCTTCATGGTGCTATTCTGATCGGCTATCTCTTTCCACAGCTCCTTATTAAGCTGAAGACCCGGACTTCCACGGAGTACTTCCTGGAGGCCTGTTCTCGAGAGGAGAGGGACGCCTGGGCCTTTGAGATCACAGGGGCGATCCATGCAGGGCAGCCGGGGAAGGTGCAGCAACTCCACATCCTGAAAAACTCCTTCAAGCTGCCCCCTCACATCAGCCTGCAGTGAGTGCCTGGCCTGCCTGGCCCCTTCGCCCAGCCTGGCCTCAGTGCAGCCTACTGTGTATGCTGTGCTTAGCAGAGGCATTGCAGGAAGAAACAAGGGCTCATCTCATGGGTCTTGTATGCTGCATATATAAGTAAAAATGAGACAAGATCTGCCAGTGGCAGCAATTGTGCCATAGAGAAGGAAAACCAGGCAGGTGGAGGTGAGATTGTAGTGAGAGGAATTTCCATCGTGGAACCTCACACCCCTCCCTCCCCACCCGCCTCAGCTCCAGGCAGCCCTATAATTACACTTATCAGACATGTGGAGTGAGTTCATTCCTGAGCTCATAAAATTCCGCATGCAGCACTATAGTATAATCTTGGTAGAATACTTGCTTTGGCTCTGAGTCCACTGCTAAGCTGCAGGCAGGTGAGGAAGGTGCAGGGAAGGGTGGATTTCCAGAGCTGTGGGATGTGGAGAAGCCTCTGGAGGAGTTCAGACTGCACACAACAGCCCATAAGGAACCAGACTGAGTGTTAAGGAATCAGTTTCTCACTTGTAGTTGTCAGTGTGATAAGGGTCTCCTCTCTTTCACATTCCTTCCATATAGTCGTATTGTGGACAAGATGCATGACAGCAGCAGTGGAATCCGGCCAAGTCCCAACATGGAGCAGGGAAGCACCTACAAGAAGACCTTTCTGGGTGAGCCTAACTGTCCCAGGGAGATTTGGGGCCTGGTGATGGAGATGAGATCGAGGCATCAGCCAAGAGTCTGACCAGCCCAGATTGAGACCAGGGTTGCCTGACGAGCAATAGGTTGGCTTGACATGGCCACATGTGGGTATAGCTGTGGCTCTGTGTAGCTGCTATAGAGAGGTCTGAGGCTTTCCAGGAACTTTCGGTCAATAAAGTCATTGACCAAGCCCTGTAAGGTGTTGACTGGGCTTGCAGCCTCTGTCTGACAGGTGTTTCCCTTGCCCTGGCACAGGCTCCTCCCTGGTGGATTGGCTCATCTCCAACAGCTTTGCAGCAAGCCGTTTGGAGGCTGTGACTCTGGCTTCAGTGCTCATGGAGGAGAATTTCCTCAGGCCTGTGGGAGTCCGGAGCATGGGAGCCATCCGCTCCGGGGATCTAGCCGAGCAGTTCCTGGATGACTCCACGGCCTTGTATACTTTTGTAAGTTAGGGATGGGCCCTTCTTGCTACTGGGACACAGGGAAGGAAACAGGAAGAGGAGAATGGGAGGGAGTGTACACTGTGGTGGGGAGGGGCCAAGGGTGTAGGGCACAGCTTTACCCCAAGGGAGCAAGGGGGTTCTATATTGAAGAATTCCACTTTCCCTCACAGTCCCCATACCCTTGGCCTGGGTATCTTTGGTGACAAGTCCTCTCCTTTCCCTCTAGGCTGAGAGCTATAAAAAGAAGATAAGCCCCAAGGAAGAAATTAGTCTCAGCACCATGGAGTTAAGTGGTACAGTGATCAAACAAGGTTATCTAGCCAAACAGGTATGGCTGCCTTTGGGAGGAGAAGATGGACAGTGGGCACATTTATGGGAGGTGGGAATGAACCCAGAGGGGAGACAGGGACTGAGAACACTCTTTGCCAGCAGAATCCACAGGAATTGGGTCAGAGATGTGTGTGTTCGCTCCTCCCCCCCACCCCCATACTAGACACAAAGGTTGCTCTAGAAAGACTAACACACATGTAATTATCACATAGAAAAGTGACTTCTGCATAACTGCTGGATTCACATGTTGTTACCTGCTTCTTCTCTGCTCTAAGATTCTTTACCATCCATATAGCTGCGTATCTACTGTGTCTTTCTTCTGGACCTGACAAGGTCCTTGCTGAGGGAGGCAATGTGGAGCAGGAAAGGGTGTGGAGAGAGAACGAGCTAAGGAAGTTTTGGGATATGATTTTTTTTTATTTGTGAACATACTGTACAGAGGGGTTACAATTACATGGGCAGGATAATGCGTACATTTCTTACCAAGCATTGCAGCCTCCTCCTTTGGTTTACCCTTCACATCCCTTCCCAGCCTCCCCCCTCCCCCCTGGGATATGATTTGAGGCAAAAAAGAAGTCAGTCTCCTTTCTCTCTCTCACACACATATACATCAATATCTTATGCATTTTAGATTATATCATACATTAAAGCTAATCATTTCCTTTTCTGGTTTAGAATGCTGTAACCATTTTACTGTGTATGTGCATACACATGTAACACACACAAATAAAGATGCACCGTAGGTTTGTTTTTGGGCTAAGTTGACCCTTACAGGGTTGGTGCATTGGGTTCAGATGGACCCATAAGCTTTCAGTCCAGTTGACACCTGCTTCTTTTTTTTAAAAAATTTTTTTCATTTGGGGATTAAACCCAGAGCCTTGCACATGCTAAGCCAGTGCTTTACTTCTGAGCCATTGCTCCAGTCCCATCCCTCTCTTTCTTAATGCCCCAAGTGATTTCAGAGTAATGAACCGCATTTCTTCTGGCGCTAACTCTCCTTAGCTTTGTTAACCAAATGTATTTTTTTTTTTTTGGTCGGTCATGGGGCTTGAACTTTGGGCTTGGACGTTGTCCCTGCGCTCTTCAGCTCTCTACCACTTGAGCCACAGCGCCACTTCAGGTTTTCTAGTGGCTTATTGGAGATAAGAGTCTCATGGAGGGGCTGGGAAGGTGGCTCAGTGGTAGAGCACTTGCCTTGCATGCATGAGGCCCTGGGTTTGATTCCTCAGCACCACATAAGCAAAAAGAAAAAAGCCGGAAGTGGCGCTTTGGCTCAAGTGGTAGAGCGCTAGCCTTGAGCTGAAGAGCTGAGGGACAGTGCCCAGGCCCAGAGTTCAGGCCCCAAGACCAGACCCCCCAGCCCAAAAAAAAAAAGTCTCATGGATTTTCCTGCCCAGGATGGCTTTGAACGGTAATCCTCAGATCTTAGCCTCCTGAGTAGCTAGGATTACAGGTGTGAGCCACTGGCGCCCGGCTCAAATGTATTTTTTCCCCCTCTTGTCTGAGACCAGGACTCAGAACTTCTATATGATGCTTGCTTTTGCTCATTGGCTGATGCTCTACCACCTGAGCCACACCTCGAACCCTGTGAGAGTGTTTTTGCATCACTAAGCAAGGGGATCCTGTCAGGCAAAGGCCAGGACATGTCACTGAAATCCTTGCCTTTCCTGCAGACTGTCTTTAGAATGTAGTTGCATTGGGACCTGCTGGATTGTTGGGATTTGGCAACAGGTAGATGTGTAGAAGCAAGCAAAAAAAATAATGTAGAACTATCACTAGTTAGTTTGAACCATTTCTTTGTTTCAGGGGCACAAAATTAAAAACTGGAAGGTACGTCGCTTTGTTCTGAGGAAGGACCCCGCTTTCCTGCATTATTATGACCCTTCCAAAGTGAGTACTGTGCACTGCCCTGGGGCTGCGCAGCTCCCAGACCCCTTCCAGCAGAGCAGGCTGGGCCATGCTTACTTCCCGATTCATGTCTCCCAGGCACTGTCTTTCCTCCCACAGGCAAGATCCTCTTTTCTCCTGTCACAGGGTTGCCTGCTCAGTGAGTGGATTCTTGTGTGCCCTTCCCCATTTCCTGTGGGCAAGGGTCTTCACATCAGAGGAAAAGCATCTTTCACCTTCCACAAAGCCTGCTTTGTGGAGGCTGATGATGAGACTCAGAAGTGGTACTTCTCAGACTCCCTTCATTTTCTGTCCAAGGATCCGATGGATTATGCCTCCCTCAATTTCTGTTCTTACCTTTCACTGTGAAGTTTCTTTTTTTTTTTCCTTTTCCTTCCCTTTTCTCTCCTTCCTTCCTTCCTTTCTTCCTTTTCCTTTATTCCTTTCCTTTCTTTCTTCCTTTTCTTTCTTTCTTCCCTTCCTTCCTTCCTTTCTCTCTCTCTCTCTCTCTCTCTTTCTCTCTCTCTCTCTTCTTTCATTGTTGGTTGTTTGGCTTGAACTCTGGGCATGGGCACTGTCCCTGAGCTCTTCAGCTCAAAGGGAGCACTCTATCACTTGAGCTACAGCGCCACTTCTGGTTTTCTGGTGGTTAATTGGAGATAAGAGTCTCATGGACTTCCCTGCCTGGGCTGGCTTTGAGACCTTGCCTTCTGAATAGCTAGGATTACAGGCGCGAGCCACTGGTGCCTGGCTTGAAGTTTCTGTTTATTATATAATTTTTTTTTGGGTCCGGTCTTGGGGCCTGAACTCTGGGCCTGGGCACTGTCCCTCAGCTCTTCAGCTCAAGGCTAGCGCTCTACCACTTGAGCCAAAGCGCCACTTCCGGCTTTTTTCTTTTTGCTTATGTGGTGCTGAGGAATCGAACCCAGGGCCTCATGCATGCAAGGCAAGCGCTCTACCACTGAGCAACCTTCCCAGCCCTATTATATAATATTTAATCCAGAAGTCACTTATTATTTTTTTTGGTACCAGTACTAGGGCTTGTACTCAGGGCCCAGGTGCTGTCCCTTAGCCTTTTTTTGCTCAACGCTGGCATACTACCTCTTGAGCCACAGCTCCACTTCTGGATGTTTGCTAGTTAATTGGAGCAATCCTAGCTAGTCAGGAGGCTGAGATCTGAGGATTGTGTTAAAGCCAGCAGGGGCGGGACTGGCCATGAGACAGTGAATAGATGGCAGTGCCCTTGTCCCTAAGTCTTCAGTTAGGAACTTCTAATCAAAGCCAAGAGCTTGCTAAGGCCCCCTGAGACCCTGTCAGGCTGAGAGGATGTCATTTAAAGCCAACTTTTGTCTCCTTTCTGAGGGTGCCCCCCTCCCTCTAGTGTAGTAGTATATCTGTTCTTCTTCTGAACTTGCCCTCCCTGGGCATCTAAGAGGCATTTCTGATACTGTTAACTGCTTTGTTTTTTGTGCTCTCTTTCTTGCTTTGCTCATGTCTCAGGATAAAACTAATGATTAATTGAAGGAACTCTGAGGCCTGAGACACCTTATATGTAAAATTGCTTGGAATCATCCAGATATCATAAATCACAGCTTTGTGTCTTGCAGTTTCAATGTTCAGCAATATCTGTTTTTCAGAAATGAGTACTATAAGCACTTTTTTTTTTGGTTGGTTGTGGGGCTTGAACTCTGGGATGGGGCGCTGTTCCTCAGCTCTTCAGTTCAAGGCAAGTGCTCTACCACTTGAGCCATAGTACCACTTCCAGTTTTCTAATGGTTTATTGGAGATGAGTCTCACGGACTTTCCTGACTGGGCTGGCTTTGAACTGTGATCCTCAGATCTCAGCCTCCTGAGTAGCTAGGATGGTTAAGTGTGAGCTACCTGTGTCCAGCTAGCACATTATTATTTTTTTTCTGATTGGTAGTAAAAGGCACCTAAGGATTAAGCAAAAAAGCATGCTTCTCTTGGTAGTGTGCTCAGTCTGACTGTTGGAATTCAGTTCCAGGAATGCAAAGCAGACCTGGGGTTGGCACTGTTGCTACTGGCTTTGAAACAAAGGGGCTCAAACCTCCTCATTGGTATTATGATTTGATCACATGATGCTGGCATTCAGCCTCATCTCTCTCTTACAAGTGACCTGAAGTGATTTGTGTAGCAGGCCTGACAAGATGGTTATGAGAGGGTATGGCTCTTCTCTGTGTGTGTTCACAAAATCCCTAATTAGGTCTCTTTCCCTCTGCAGGAAGAGAACAGGCCAGTCGGTGGGTTTTCTCTTCGTGGTTCACTTGTGTCAGCTCTGGAAGATAATGGTGTTCCAACTGGTAAGGTGCAACTTTGGCCCTGGCTTGAAGATCTAGGTGGCTTTCCTTCTGTAAGGAGAGACAGAGCTTTGGGAGCCAAGTAGGGCTTCCCTCTGTGAGACATGAATGGTGGGAGTTTTGAAGCCATTTTCAGAAATAGAGGAAAGAGCATATGAAGCATTCTAAGTGTTTTGAGAATACAACTAAATAGCTAGGTATGCCTATAATACCAGCACCTGAGGTGAGTCTGAAGCCATCTTGGGTTACAGAATATGACCCTGACCCCAAAGAAGCTCCCAAATGGCCTATCATGCCTAAGTTCAAACCCCAGAAGCCTCAAAAACCAACCTCTAAGAAGGTTATGCTTAAAGAATGTAACTGAGTAAGCCTTGTTTCCCCATCATTTCTACACAGGTGGCCCATAAGCTTCCACTTAGCAGTTAAGACTTACATAGTGCTTTAACATGAACTAACACTTTCATGTGTTATCATACTAATTTCACAATCATCAGCGGTGGTAGGAAGACAGTATTCTTCCCCATCTTAGGGATGTGGAAATTGGTGTCAAATAATTTGAAACCAAACACAAAATGCTTACTTTGAACATATCACTCTTCGACTACAACTGTTAAGTTTGTGACTAGCTCAAGGTAAGTTAAGAGGCTGTCCTGTCCAGCAATGTGGAAGCCTTAAATTGCTGGGGAGGGAGAAGAGGAAGGCATTATCTCTGGTGAGATGCCAGACTCTACCCAATTTGTATGTAAGAAGCAGAGCACTTCATTGTTTTTGTCTAGTTTCAGCTGCTTCCAGCCGAAAGTAGATATTTAATCACTTTTATTTTTCTGCATAGGGGTTAAAGGAAATGTCCAAGGAAATCTCTTCAAAGTGATTACTAAGGATGATACACACTATTACATCCAGGCCAGTAGCAAGGCTGAACGAGCAGAGTGGATTGAAGCTATCAAAAAGCTAACCTGACAAGGAAGAAACTAAGTAGGACCAGGAGTCCTCCCAACTCCCTCCTACAACAGAATGCAGACAGGGATTTCCTGGAGAATGCATGTTGTTGACTGTGATTCAGGACTGGGGATGTGGCTCAGTGGTGGAGGGCCTAACAGGCCTGAGGTGCTGGGTTTGATTTCTAACAATGGAAAAGATGTTAACACTGTACATTTGCATTGTTTTGGAGACTGCTCAAGATGTTGCTCAGATGACAAGCTGCGGTGGTGCTATTTCCTTCCCCATCTACCCATTATCAACCTGGAAAGCTGAAACAGCCATTAGGTGTTGCATCTTGATTCTTGCCCACCAGGACAGTTGTGTCCTTAGGCATTACTTTGTTGGAACACTAACACTAGCCAAGCTGTAATATTAAATAAAAATAGTGTCAAGGCAGCTGTCTCTTAAATTATACCGACAACTCCTATCTCCTTTGGAATGAATAAGCATCAACATTTCTGGCTGTTATAACTGGCTGTACAAAGTCTGAAGTTTTCAAACATTTCCCAAATCCCTATAGCTCTGTGTAGTATGCAAGCTGGCTACAGAAATATTTCAGGTAATCTGTCACCAAGACATCTCATCTTAAAAGTTGGGCTGCTGGCAAAACTTTGAAGAGAGGACATTGTTTTGTTTTAGAAAATAAGCTTGCATAAGTACTATGAGATGTGGAAAGGAAGTCATGGATTCACCTAGAGAAACTTGACATACAAAGCCAAATAAAACCTCAAGCAGTTGGGCACTGGTAGCTTATGCTTGTAACCCTAGCTACTGAGGTCTAAGGATTGGAGTTCAAAGCCAGCCCAGGAAGTCTGTGAGGCTCTTTACTAAACAAGCTGGAAGTGGAGCTGTGGTTCGAGGGGTAGAGTACTAGCCAAGAGCAGACCCTGGGTTCAAGCCTTAGGGCCAGTACAATTGAAAAAAGTTTCCCATGAGATTTTTCTTAACAGGCAAACATGGCCGGGCACCTGTGGCTCAGGCCAGTAATCCTAGCTACTCAGGAGGCTGAGATCTGAGGATCATGGTTCAAAGTCAGCCTAGACAGGAAAATCCATGAAACTCTTATCTCCTATTAACCACTAGAAAACTGGAAGTGATGTTGTGACTCAAGCGATTGAGCGCTCACTTTGAGCTAAGAGCTGAGGGACAGCGCCCAGGCAGAGTTCAAGCCCCACAACCAAAAAAAAAAAAAAAAAAAAAAGCAGACATGCAAATCCCGAGTTAAATAGAAGCATAAAATTCTGGTTTTATAATGAATATTAAAACTGAAATAAATAGCACCAAGGCATTTCCTTGATTGGGAGGTTAATCTAGTGAAAAGTCTACCATAGAATGTTTTTAAAAAACATTTTTATTGTTTTCAAGTTTATACAGTCATCTGGCACAAGCCATTATAGCCAGTCTTCTTGCCAAGTACAAGTGCTTGGACTTTAATGAATAGATAAAATATATAGCTACATTTAAAGGGAGTGGATCCTTTCAAAGTACTTAGGCAAAGCTTTGTTCTCTTAATTGAGCTCTCTCCTCTCAATGTCTAATTTCTGACCCTGAGTGATCAGAAATTCAAAGCTAATGTTTCTCTATTCCTAATGTTTTAAGAGAACTTCAAAGCACTACTTTCTGTCTGGCATTTTATCAAGCCCTAATGCCTCTGGAATTACTTTTATTGGCTTTTGAATCCCGACAGGTGCTTATCTGAATTAAACTACTTTTAGTTTGTTTCCTCCCTCCAAATGGGCACAACTGTCCCTCACCTTTGTACAGGACAGAGATCAGGGCTAGAAAATAGATGGCAGTCATTAGTTTGAAGCAAATCAGTGAAGTTGGTAAGCTGTTAGCAGTTAGCTTTTAAAAATCCTTACCCATTTTAGTTTTGCTTTTGGTATAAAAGTAGTAGCTAGGTCAAGATTGGTTGGACACTGGGTGCTGGTGACTCATGCCTGTAATCCTAGCTACTCAGGAGGCTGAGATCTGAAGACTGTTGTTCAAAGCCTGCCTGGGCAGGAAACTCTGAGACTCTTATCTTCAATTAACCAATCACAAGAAAACTGGAAGTGGTGCTGTGGCTCAAGCAGCAGAGTGCTTGTCTTGAGCTGAAGAGCTCAGGAACAGTGCCCAGGCTGAGTTCAAGCCCCATGACCGACAAAAAATAAGAGAAAAACAATGGAGTGACATTTGAGTAGAAAAGTATTAGTGTGATGCAGTAACTAGCATGTCTCTGTAACTCCCATCAAATGCTTGGAACATTATTCATGTAAGAATTGGCTTGTTTTAAGCTGGTTTGAAAGCCCGTATTTTGTCATTTTCAATGAACTTCTGTATCCTGAGCTATTACTAATTTTGAGTTGGTCATCACTTGACCTTAATCAAAGGCAAGGGATAGAATATGAAGTAGTCAACATTTTTAATAAAAGGCTTTGGTAGGGGGACCAAGATTTAGTAAGCTGTTCAATTCTGCCATTTATGTTCATGTTATTCAAAGCTAGGTGTGTATCCTGGGTGTCTTGTTTTTTTCAGCGCAGCAAGGTTAATGTATTAAATTTAGCTTTTTAAAAAATAATCAATAAAATATTGGTCTGGTTAGGACCATTAATTTACAAAACTGTTGTGTAACGGAGTCAAAAAGCCTACATGCAATAAAAAAAAAATCAGTCACTATAGGGACTACTGAAGTTTCCAAGTTACAGCTGTTGTGTTTTCAGTAAATGTGGAAAAAAAATTAATTCCCTTGCATACATACAGCAAAGGAGTTCCTTAACACATTTTCTCCTTTTGCAGTACTGGGGCTTAGATCATGCCTGGCAAGTGCTCTACCAATGAGTCCAGCCATTTTTTGTACAGGGTTTCATGATATGTTGTCCCTGCAGGCCTCAAACTTGCAATCCTCCTTCCTTAGCCTGCTGAGGGGATGGGATTACAGGTGTGAACCACCATTCCATCTTGGTTCCACAAGTATTATGTTTTCTGGTATGCCAATCTTGAGTATATCTATATTCTCTAAATCTAATGTGACATGCTGGTTAACAATTGTGGCTCCATCTTGGAAATAGACCATCTGAAGTTGTACCTCTGGATTAGAAAGCTAGTACAGGCTGCTAAACTAAATAAACCCATAGATAGCACAAATTATTGCTCCTACACACTACTTCCTAGTCTCCTCCCCCACTTTAAAATGGCTCCAGTACTGTTACTACTGAATTATCTCTAGTTAAGTAGGGTGAGTTAAGTTTAATCAACAGGTTTGAATACCTAAGGCTAATAATGAAACTATGTAACTTGTACCTCAAGATATCCTTGTTGATTAATGTATGAAGATAAGAATGCCAAAGTATGTAAGCAGGGATGTTACCTGTGAAACTATTTTATACTCTAAAAATAACTAGTTCTTGAAGATAAAAAGTAACACAAACATGGGCTGGGAAGGTGGCTCAGTGGTAGAGCGCTTACCTTGCATGCATAAGGCCCTGGGTTTGATTCCTCAGCACCACATAAGCAAAAAGAAAAAAGCTGGAAGTGGCACTGTGGCTCAAGTGGTAGAGGGCTGAGCTGAGGGACAGCGCCCAGGCCCAGAGTTCAAGCCCCACGACTGGACCCAAAAAACAAAAAAACCCAGAAAAATCACAAACATGCTGGGTGCCTGTGGCTCATGCCTGTAATCCTAGCTATTCAGGAGGCTGAGATCTGAGGATCGCGGTTCAAAGCCAGCCCGGGTAGGAAAGTCCCTGAAACTCTTATCTCCAATAAACCACCAGAAAACCAGAAATGGCGCTGTAGCTCAAGCAATAGAGCACTTGCCTTGAGCTGACGAACTGAGGGACAGCGTTCAGGCCCAGAGTTCAAGCCCCACAACCGACCAAAGAAAACCCCAAAACAACAAAAAAACCACAAACATAGAAGAATGTGCTATGTTAGATCCCTGTTGTTAATCTAAGTGGCACTCACCACAGTAAAGGAGAAAAAAAACCCAAAAGTTGGGTGACATTTAAATTGACAAAACATAGTAGCACTTTCTTAAAACTTTTTTTTTTTAAATCATTTTAAACTATAAATTCAAGACAAATAGTATAGTATACCGACAAGAACTCAGTGTGGTTGGGCTGGGAAGGTGGCTCAGTGGTAGAGTGCTTGCCTTGCATGCCTGAGGCCCTGGGTTCAATTCCTTAGAACCACATAAGCAAAAAAAGCCGGAAGTGATGCAGTGGCTCAAGTGGTAGAGCACTAGTCTTGAGCTGAAGAGCTGAGGGGCAGCGCCCAGGCCCAGAGTTCAGGCTCCATGACCAACCAAAAAAAAAAAAAAAAAAAAAGATGACACAAGTCAGGTGCTGGTGGCTCATGCCTATAATCCTAGCTACTCAGGAGGCTGAGATCTGAGGATCATAGTTCAAAGCCAGCCTGGGCAGTAAAGTCCCTGTGAGATCTTACCTCCAAGTAACCACTCAAAAACCGGAAGTGGTATGATGGCTCAAGTGGTAGAGTGCTAGGCTTGAGCACAGAGGCTCAGGGACAGTGCCTAGGCCCTGAGTTCAAGGCCCACAATGGGGGGGGGGTAGGGGGGAGATCAAAGTTTTAAAAGAATCAGAGGTGGCAGATATACTAGTACTCAAATATTTATAAAAGTTTTCTTCACCCTACTGCTACTCATTTTCACAATTAAAAGTATTAGATTATGGCTGTGTTTGGTGGTGCACATCTATAAACATAGCACTTAGGAGACCAACCTGGGCAACAGAGACTGACTAAAAAAGTATTGTCGACACAGCACTGTTTTGGGAAGTCTCATTCCTTGACCTTTTTTTTTTTTTGGATGTATACAAATATTTTCAAAGTCATTTTAGAACTTACCTGCTCGAATTTTGACAGCCTGTGGGGTCAAACGCCTATTAATATTGTTAATGAGTACTTCACGTTCATCTTCATTCAAATCTAAGCTATCCAAAATGGACGGATCTCTGATTAAAACAAACAAACAAAAAGCTAAGGTTAAAGAAGTAATTGGGAAACTAAACACACATTCTAGAGAATGCAAAGAACAAGAAAGTACTAGGCTCTGGTTTCAGAATTAGAACCCAAATCTTTGCTTTGTACAAAATTTTGTTAGGCTCCAGTATCCAAATGTATAGAATGAAAAAAAGTGTATTTTAAGTAGTCAGATAGTGCAAAGAGAGAAGAAAAAACGCTCAGCAGTATACAACAAATAAAAAACTCAATTGATTATCAAAAGGAAAAATTTAGCCATTTGAATAAAATAAACAATTTAATATTTCCTAATACATCTAAAATTCTTCTATAATTAAGCATTTGTATATAACTAGCAGTCTCTTTAAAGTTACAAAAACACAGTAAAAATGCATAAAAACAAAAGTACCTCCATGAGCATTAGGAGAAAAGAGTTACTTTTGATATTTAGTGGTATTAAAGGACTTCATTCAGAAAGTAGCACCAGGGAGGATCTTGGTCAATAACTTGTAAACTGAACAAATGAAAAGTATGGGGAGAGGAAAGAATGATTAATGGAATGGTAGCACCATAACAAGCAAAGGTAGAACTGAGTATCAATCAATACCTAGGTGCAAGATGAGCATCTGTCATCCTACCCATGTGAGAGGCTAACATTGGTAGGATTGAGATAATCAATCCAGCTCAGACAGGAAAGTCTACCAGACTATCTCCATAAAAACAGCTGGGAATGGTTGTACACTCCTGTCATCCCAGCCATGGTGGGAAGTGAAAAATAGGCATGGGTCTGGTAGGAAGCAATAAAATAACTAGTGTAAAAATAACTGGAGGCATGGCTCAGTAATAGAGCTCTTGTAAAGCAAATATGTAGTCAAGTTGAAACTCTATGCGTATTTAGACACATAAAGAAATGTTTACATTATATGTATTTATACATAGTATGAATCCAATAATTCCATTCTTAGGTATACATCTTAGAAACTTCCAAAACAAATGGAGATATACAATGATATTAATCACAGCATGGTTTGAAAATTGGATGGTACCCGGTTTGAACTCAAGTGCCTTACGTTTGCTAAGCAAGTGCTCTACCGCTTAAGTCATGTCCCTAACCCTTTCTGCTCTAGTTACAGGGAGAATAAAGCATATTCTCAAAATGAAATGCTTTCTAGAAATTAGTATGGATGAAATGGGTGCTTATCTATGAATTTTAAAAAATCCTACTTAGACAGCCTTCTAGGGCAAAATGCAAGCTACAGAGAGTTACAACAATGAACTAAAATGTTAAGTGCACCAATTATTCCATTCATGGGTCTATGGATTGACAGATTGTAGGAAGTGCTTTAGACAAGAACTTTGGACTTTTTCAGATTTTGGAATATTTACATATACAGAACAAGGTACCATGGTGGGATCTAAGTCTAAATACAAAAACTATGTTTCATATACATCTTCTTCTCATACAGTAAAAGTAACTTATTTGTAAGTGTTTTTAGTTTACTAAAAACCTCCTGTCACAGGAGGTCAGTGATAAAATTTTCCACTGTGGTTAAATATTGTTAGTCCTCAAAACCTTTCAGATTCATCTTGTATTGGGTTAGAGATGCTAAGCATGTATATAATAAAACCATTAAAACATAAATGACAGTGATACACACTAATAACTTCTGATTTGTTGAATTAAAAACGTGGCAAAGGCATCCAGCTCATGCCTGTAATCCTACCCAGGAGGCTGAGATCTGAGGACTGCGGTTCAAAAGCCAGCCCAGGCAGGAAAGTCCGTAAGACTTATATTCAATTATAGAGAAAGCCAGAAGTGGTAATGTGGCTCAAGTGGTAGTTTGCTAGCCTTGAGCAAAAAGAGCTCAGGGACAGTGTCCAATGGAGCCCATAGTTCAAGCCCCAGGAAGGTTTAAAAAAAAAAAAGTGGTAAAGAAACAGCATAAAATTTGGACAGCTATTACATGAATGATGACGTGTTAAGGAACAGTGAATAAAACATACTAAGACTTAGTGACAATGGAGGGGTCCTAGAGACAAGCTAACAGAAAAGGTAAACTGGGGCTAAGCATGAGCATGAGTTAAGTTAGGAAGCATATTGACTGGATTAGGGGTGTAACTCAGGGACAGAATAACTGACTGGCAAGCACCACCTCCAGCATTACAAAAAAAGACAAGGAATGAAAAAACTACCAAGGGATATAGAAGGATAAAACAGTGCTTAATGGTTAATAACACCAACTCTAGAGCCAGAAAACCTAGGTTTGAACATTGGTTCTCTACCTGTGTGACCTAGAACAAATTACTTAATCTCTGCTTCAATTTCCTTTAACTGTAAAAAAAAAAAAAGATAATAACTTAGCCTACAAGTTGTTAGGATTATGTTAGTTATTGCTATTCCTACCTTTCATAATAACACATGCATGCACAAGGTCATATGAGGTCAAATGGAAGGGGTATGTTATGAAGGGGCTCTTATAACTGAGGGGCTGTTTGCCCCTGAGGGTTAGAGGGGTCCAGTAGTTTTTGGCGGCCTAAGGGTTAGAAAGTAACCTCAGTCTAGTGGTGAGGCTGCTCATGAAGCATGAACATTCAGTAAAGAGTGGGATGGGAAGAAGCAGAGATAAAAAGCACTGAGAATTGGAGCTAAAAGCAGAGGACACAAGTCTTGCTACATGAGAAAAGTCGAGAGGCTGAAAAGGAGCTTTTTAGTATAAATGGAATAAACCAGAGAATGTAATATTTATGGTGATGAAGCAAATCCAATAAAGGGAAAGACTGTCCAAGAAAGGGAGTAACTGACAGATGGATGGAAGTAACAAGTAATGACTCCTGTAATGACTTTTATTTATTTTTGTAAAATTAGATATGCAGTGAGCACAACAGCTAAGACTATAGAAGATGGTAGAATGGTTCTGAGGAAGAGCACTAAGAAGTTCTGAAGCAGACACTATAAAAATAGAAGAACTGACCAGAATCAGAGAGAATGTAGGGTAGTAGTGAAGGCCCAGTTGAGGTTGGAAGACTGTGAACAGGCCCTGGCACCAACCTGTAGGACTCATTTTTTTTTTCCTAGTGGCAGCCAGTAGTCTATAAGTGCAGAGAAGGCAGGAACACTGATCCAAGGCTGGATGTAACAGAAGGAAAAACGGAAAAATTCATGATATTGGCAAGAAAGTTTTGAAATGATGGCTCATGATATGTCTGTGTTGGATAAGAAAGCCAAGAGAGGGTGAAAAGACAACAGGAAAGATAGGTTTAGAACCAGAACCTAATACACAAGAATTTAAGAAGAAATACAGTAGGACTAATACAAAGAAGCTAGGAGGATAGATTATGGAAAAAAGAAAACAAGACCAAAAAACTCAAAACAAAAACAGTGTATGAGGGCTGGGATGTAGCTCAGTGGCAAAGCGCTTGCCTAGCAAGTGCAACGTCCTGGGTTCGATCCCCAGTACCAAAAAAAGAAAAGACAAAAAAAATACAGTTAAAAAAAAAAACCCAAACAAAAACAGTGTATGAATTACAAGTTTTAGAGGCAAGCAAATCCTGGAAACAAAAAGGACTGAAGGGAGGCCACATGAAAGACTAGCTAAAGTGGCATGGTCTGAAGGTCAAAGAAACTGAGGCAAAGGAAACAAGGTTAGTTTTGGGTAACACACAAACACTGGTCCTTAAGTCATCTAGGACAGTAGCAAAACTAGGAAATGAAAATGTATAAGGGAGTATGAGATAAAACTACGAGTTATACAACTACATAATTATAGTCTACATAATTATAGTATTATTTAATATATATTGTAGTGTATGTAAATTAATCTACATAGACAACACATAGGACGAGCCTACATTATGATTATGAGTCTTTCTTACTGAAATATTTCTGTTTGGTAAGCATTTAATATAAGGATGTTGTGTGACTGAAAGACTATCAATCTCTGAGCTAGACCCAACTGCTGAGATATCAAAATGGAAACGAAGAGATATTCTTACGAGACTGCATGCTTAAATGCATCATAGGCACCATATCCAGGCCTCTTGTACTTGTCATCAAAGACCCAGGCAGTCCTCTGAAACAGGCTTTCCAGCTGCTCATCCTTGGTGTATTCTAACACCTCAGCAACATGGCGAAGAATGCTATAAACCTAGAACAGAGCCAAGAGTTCAATTCCAAAACAAGAGATCCAGAGAAATGTCCGTTTCCTCCCAATAATTAACTCAAGCTTGTACAACAAATAGAAAAAAATATATAATTTAGGATCCTGAGATCAGGCTCAAATCTTGATAATGGGACAAATGAAAATGTTTGAATTTGTTTCCCCATTTGTGAAAGGAAGATACTAATATCTCTTCCTAATGTAGGAAATTTGTGCATAGGATTAAATATATATAAGCACACAATATAAATGGTCAAGTACTAAAGACAGAACCAGGCAACCAACCACCACCACCAACATAAAGAGACCTTTGGATTCAACATTTTACAAACTCTTATTTTTGAAAAAGTTGGAAGACAAAAACTATGTGTTATGATATCCCAGTAAAAAATAAGCCGACACAGGTCTGTAATCCTAAATACTTAGGGGGGTGAGAGGAGGCTGAGGCAGGAGGATCAGCTGAGCCTATTGAAGTTCAAGGCCAGGCTGAGCAACAATATCAAGACCCTATTTCAAAAAATTAAAAAAGGCTGAATATGTAGTTCAGTGGTAGGTAGCATGCATGAGCTGTTGGGTTTGATCCCCAGCAGAACAATCAACCAATCAGATTAAAAAGCTAAAGAAGTCAGCTGAAATCAGCTAATTCAACATAAGATGGTTTTAAAACATTACCTTTTTTTTTTTTGTAGGTTATGGAGCTTGAACTCCAGGCTTGGGCACTGTCCCTGTGCTCTTCAGCGTAAGGCCAGAGCTCTACCACTTGAGCCACAGTGCCACTTCAGCCTTTCCTGCCCAGGCTGGCTTTGAACCATGATCCTCAGATCTCAGCCTTCTGAGTAGCTAGGATTATGGGTGTGAGCCACCAGCACCCGGCTTAAAACATTACCTTCTCATACTCATTTGAGAATATTAGATCATGAGTAATGCTTTAAGGTAGTGATACTGAGACAGAATATGTAGCTCTTTACATTTTGAGATTCAGTCTTCCAAACAGAGTTCTATTTAACACACAATTGGAAAGTGAACATATAAAAAAAAAATAGAGGTTTTGTAATCTTAAAAGTCAACTTACAGTTTTAGATTTTGTGAATTTGTCTTCACATTTGATTGCTTCTTCTGGAGAGACTCTTCTTTTTGACAAATCAATATATCCTATATAAGAAATTTTTTGGAAAAAAAGAAAAATCAATGTTCAGGTCTAGCCTATTACTGAGATTAATTTCATAACCAAATCAAGTATTTGGCAAGCTTGTTTATATTCATCACTAACATTAAATGAACAAAGTATTTCCATAGGAAATATATGATGAAGCCAGTGGCTCATGCCTGTAATCCTAGCTACTAGGAGGCTAAGATGAATGAGGATCATGGTTCAAAGCCAGCCTTGGCAGGAAAGTCAATGTGTCTATTATCTCTAATTTACTTCCAAAAAGCTGGAAATAGTCCTGTGGCTTAAAGTAGTAGAGCGCTAGCCTTCGAGTTTGAAAATGTTCAGGTATAGCCCCCAGGCCACTGAGTTCAAGCCTCACCACCACCTCTTTTTCTACTCAGTTGCTTTTACATTTTTGTTAATAATCAATTCATTGCAAGTGAGTACATATATAGAACTTTGATTCTCCAACCAAACCGGCATTTCACATACTCTACTTGTTCATGCTTTACTAGCCTTTTCATCCACTGCTGGTTTTAAATATCTTTTCTTCTTACTCTGAGGTGCTAAGATCAGAATCCAGGACTCTAAATATTAGGCAAGAATTGATTCTGAGCTACAAACACTGAGATACCACCCTCTGTCCTTGCTTGTCAAACACTGTACTACTTGAGCCATAAACGCCCAATCCTTTTTTTTTTCCAATTACCGTCTCACTTTTTGCCCTGGTCAGTCTGGACCAAATTCCTCTTATTTCCACTTCATCTATGACAGGCACATTCCACCATATCCAACTTTTTTTTTTTTTCAAGAGGCAATGACCTGCAGGTCTTTATTCTAGAACACGAAGGGCCATGTTGGATCCACCCACCCCCAAATTTTACCCTTTCATTAATGAGGTCCCTCCATAGTCTCTTTTATGACAGGGAGCTTTTGAAAACGGGTCAAACCCAGGAGATTCTTAAATTTGCTCCCTCCCCCCTCCCCCTCCCCAATACTACATATCCAACTTTTGAAGTTAGGTCTTGTGAACATGATGCCCAGGCTAGCCCTCTGAATTTCCCTAATCTCTTCCTTCCGAGTAGCTGTCCATTCTTAAAAAAAATTTAGTTTAGCAGTTTTGTATGCATCTAAAATATTGAGTGATACTTGGCAGAGGCTCTAGATTTCTACATATTTCTCTGGAGATTATTACTTTTTTTTCTTGTTGATACTGGGGTTTGAACTCAGGGCCTTAGGCTTGCTAGGTAATTGTTCTACCAAACCAACTTGAGGTTCTTATTGCTTTAGGTTATTTTTAGCCTGGGGTTGGCTTTTAATCACAACCCTCCTCTTATCTATGCACAGGGCCAGACAAGAATATTTTTTAAAAAAATGAGACAGCAGTCTCAACTCAGTACTTTTGATTCCTAAGGTGGGAAAAAATAATTGCAATCCTAATTGGGTGCTGGTGACTCACACCTGTAATCCCAGCTACCCAGGAGGCTGAGATCTGAGGATCACAGTTCAAAGCCAGCCAAGGCAGGAAAGTCCGTCAGACTCTTCTCTCCAATGAACCACCAGAAAAACTAGAAGTGGCACTATGGCTCAAGTGGTAGAGTGCTCGCCTTGAGCTGAAGAGTTCAGGGATAGAGCCCAGGTCCCGAGTTAAAAAAAAAAAAAATGCAATTCTAAGTTTTTCATCTTTTTGGACTGCTTGGAGGCCACACTGTGTTATCAGTTGTTCAGGGACTGACAGAGATTTTTGCAGAATTAAAAAATTTTTTTTATTCATGTTCAGGTTTTATAGCTGCTGTGTTTAAGGTCTGTCCAATTGGATCTAATCTTTTTTATACAGAAAACATCTTTTCTACAGCTCTTTTGTATTTTCATTTTTCTTATTTTACCTTGGAACAGTCCATAACAGAACATTCAGAGTTCATTCTGTATTAAAAAACAGACACAGGCTGACCTATTGCAACAATGATACTCACAAGACACTATGCAGGAGATCTTGGGGGGAGGTAAGGAAGGTGGGGAAGGGAAGGGATAGTAGAAGAACAAAGGAGGGGGTAACTATTCATTACCTTATTGATCCTCAGATCTCAGCCTACTGAGTAGCTAGGATTATAGGTGTGTGTTATATACCAGCCTATAATGTATTTTTATAATTACATTAAAAATTTACACATTTTAAGGTATTTTTCCTCACCTTTTTCTTTGTCCACTCTAATAACAACTACACATTCATTCCTACCAATTCGGATGAGTTTATTTATAGAACGGATACGTCTTCTGGATAATTCACTAAGAAGAATCATGCCTTCAATGTTGTTGTATTCCAGCAAGCTGACGTAAGCCCCCATTTCAGCAATGGACCTGACATTCACCATCACTACATCTTCCACCTCAGGAAATTTGTGTTGATAAAATCTACAACTTAGACCAGGCATTCTGGAAATTAAACAAAAGAATCAAGTGTCCAGTTAAGGTTAAAAAAAAATGCCTATTTTACATAACTTGCCCCTGAAAGGAAAAAAAAGTTACCGGTCTTTTTCATCTCTTTAAACATCTTAAATAGTTCCAGAAAGTGGCTAGATACTAAGAAACCAAACTTTAATTTTTATTTTATTCCAAATTTTTATAAGGCTTAGATGAGTCTCTGCCATCAGTTCCAGAAGAACCATAAAAAATAATAACCATCTATGAAGAACTGTGAGGCCTAAGGATTAAAGGAATACCTCAAGAGCAAAAGACTATTTGAATACTAACATTTTATGCAGGGCGTGGTGATGCACACCTATAATCTCAGGCTGAGGTAGGAGGCCAGTTCAAGGCCAGTCTGGGGCAAATAACAAGATGCTGTTTCAAAACAAAGTTGAAACCCACAAACCATTTTAAGTAACAACAAATAACAGGGGTAGGGTACATCACTACTATTCTAATATTATAATATTACGTATTAGGAAAATTACGTCTTTTTTGTCAAATCAGCTCACATTGTATATGCTATTACTTTAATGGGAAAAAATCTTTGCAATATACCACACAATACTTTGTGTATGTATAGTTGTGTGTGTGCGTGCGTGCATGTGTGTGTGTGTTGTGCTAGGGCTTGGGCCCAGGAACTAGGGTATTTGAGACAAGTATTCTACCAATGAGCTACGTTCAGCCTATTATCACTTCATATAATCCAAATTACTGTATCATGCATCAAGGTAACAAAAAATAAAAATATTAATCATATAGCTTAACTTTCCTTTTTAAAATAAAGTAGTTCAATCCTGTTACCATGAGTTCTAGCATTCATTCATTCACTCACCAGGGCTAGGGACTAAACCCAGGGCCTCATACATGCTAAGGAAGCATTCCACCATCTTATAATCCTAATTTCTCCATTTTTATTTTGTTGGCTAGGTATATCTAAACTTGAGAACAGCTGCACAATTTCCCATTTCTATAGCCTTCAAGTTTCTTTAAGTGTTAAAGATTAAATTGTTACTTATCATCTACATATACCCCTTTTTGACCCACAGATGGAAATCATACCATCAATTGACTAATATTTTAAAATAGAAGCTCTCATAGGATGTCAGTGGCTCATGCCTGTAATTGTAGCTACTCTGAAGGCTGAGATCCGAGGAACACAGTTTGAAGCCTGTCAGCAGAAAAGTTTGTAAGAATCATCTCCAATTAACCACCAAAAAGCTGAAAGTGGAGCTGTAGATAAAGTGGTAGAGCACTAGCCTTGAGCAAAAAACCTCAGGGACAGAGCCTAGACCCCGAGTTCAAGACCCAGGACTGGCACGTACACAAAATGGAAGCTTTAAAACAAATGGTGCCAAATGATTTTCATTTTTCTCCATTAACTGATTTACTACTGTTGGAGCACAGAAGACAGTCAATAATGGGAATCAGAGATCTAATAAAAGTCAAAAGTTCATTTGATAACCTTATTTTTGTTAATGGGACAGAAGGTAGTAATCAATACTTGGTCTTAAATAATTACCTCTAACACGTGGAATACTGGAATTCTCCTGTAGTGCAGTTTGATAATTATTACCTGGCAATAACTTATACCCCCTACCCATTGGATAGATACACATTTTCCTTTCTTAGTAAACATAGCTGGGCGCTGGTGACTCACGCCTGTAATCCTAGCTACACAGGAGACTGAGATCTGAGGATCACACTTCAAAGCCAGCCCGGGCAGGAAAGTCCATGAGACTCATTTCCAATTAACACCAGAAAACTGGAAGTGGTGCTGTGGCTTCAGTGGTAGAGCTGAAGAGCTCAGGGATAGCGCCCAGGCCCAGAGTTCAAGCCCCACAACTGACAATAAATAAATACAAAATAAAAAAGTAAACAATGGTTCCATAGGGGGTTTCCATACATATCTACACTGTACCCTGTTCAACCTATCACTTTCTCCATCCCAGGCTCCTTTCATAAAGCAATTTCATCTGGTTTTGTTGTTCTGTTTTCATACATACAAATAAACTACTTCAATCATATTCATTCTCATTTACTCTCTTTGTTAAGCCCTCCCCATCCTACTGATGCCCACTCTCATCCAAGCCTGTTTCACTTTCCTGTCATTCACTTTTTTGGAATATTAATTGCACCAAGGGGTTTTATTTTTGTATTTCAGACATAAAATACATTTTTCTATTATTTGGTCCTATACGACCTGGACACTGTCTATCTCTTTGGGGTAACTCTCTCTACTTAGTTTTCCTCCTTTTATGGATAAACTGAAGCACAGGTTGGGCAGCTTGCTTTTTCATATACTGATACGTGGTTTGGAACCAAAGTCTATGCTCTTAAAGCAAGGATACATTTTCCCCTCAGTGTCATTGATTAATGCTACCATTAGGAACTTCTGACACAAATAAAATACAACATTAATTTATGTATTCAGTGTTGACAGCATAAATCACGAATTAGTACAAACTATTAGTACTCATCTATTCTGTTTAACTAAAAAGCAATTTATGTAGAATAGATTATTATCTTGTAGCTCAACAAAAAAGAGATCTAGTAAACAAAGGGACGTAGACACTCAATGGCCAGAATTACCCAGGAAGAAAACAGCTGAGCTGGTTGTATAATTTTTAAACAGGGCCTTTTAGGGGTGATGTTGTGGTAGTGAAAGAATATTCTAAAGTATCTGTATACAGACTGACTAGTCTTACTTGAGAACTAAGAATAAAAAACTCTTTCTAAATAGGCATTAAAAATAAATGTCATGGGGCTGGGAAGTTGGCTCAGGGGTAAGAGCGCTTGCCTTGCATGCCTGAGGCCCTGGGTTCGATTCCTCAGCACCACATAAGCAAAAAAGAAAAAAAAAGCCGGAAGTGGCGCTATGGCTCAAGTGGTAGGGCACTAGCCTTGAGCTGAAGAGCTGAGGGACAGCGCTCAGCCCCACAACCGGACCAAAAAAATAAAAATAAATGTCATGAACATGTATAGAACAGTTTAATTTGATGATTAAAGGATACAAGGAATAGGATAAAAGAATCCTGAAGGGAGATATAAATATTACCCTCTCTTTTCCTAACATTGTAAGTTTACTCAGAAGTGCCAATAAAGAAAAAGAGTTAGAGAAATCTCTTCAAAGAGGAAAGTTTCAGGTTGGGGCCCACCATTTCCTGAATACTATTTCTTTAGAAAGCACAAGTCTCTGATATACATAGATTAAGGAAAACATAGGTTAAGCTAAGGAGTACTGCTGATGGTTATGTTATTCACAGTAAAGGTAGAAAGTAAGAAAGTACCTACAAAAGAATCCATACCACAAGAAACTCACTTATTGGTTGGTGGATTTTTGATGTGTTCTTTTCTCATGAACGGCTTGTAACTTGAAAAAAACACACAACTAAAAAAAGCCTCCAACACTCACATAGTTTCCTCAGTCAGGAAAGCAGAAATCTTACTAGGAATTTACTCAGTCCTTTGTGTCATTTTCACTGTCCAGTCAGGCAAGAAGTCATGTAAACTTTGTGAATAGCTCTGTATTTTCAGTCCTTACTCTACTACCCGGCGGTAGCTATGTGGGAAAGGCATTTTCTCTGAACTCTATTTTCTTGTCTGTGCCATGTACCTTTTATAGGATTACTGAGGATATCAAATGAAATATGTGTAAAAATAGGTTGAAAACTGTGCTGTTATAAACTTGTGCTAGCATTGATTAAAAAAAAGTTCAGGGACAGCACCTGCCATAGTTGAAAGAAACCGGGGACTTCTACATCCTTTTACCAAGGATCATTGTTTCTTCTTCAATCAAAATTAAAGCAGCCTAAGCTTTGGGGAAAATTAGAGAGACCTCAGGATGTATACGGGCATCAATTTAACTCGCGTCCCAGATTCCCTAACCTTAGGATTTTAGTTACGTTATAGTTACAAGACAACAGTTCCGGTCTCTTTGCTGGCGAAATAGGGCAAACTGACAGGAACGACGGTACTAAACCCCTCGAGCACTAGGCTTTAGCTTCAAAGGTAGAGCGGTAACATAAACCTGGATTTTAATTATTTAGCGTATAAACTACACTTAGTTAGGTTCAAGCTCTTTTCAATATGGTGGCCCATCCGATTAGTTGTTTAGACAACAGTTCGGTTTGGTTTCTACTGAGAACCACAGGAACTTTTCGGCAGAATTTCTGAGGTGAAAGAAAAATAGAAACCTCTCAGGCCTGGAACGAACACACGAACACACACACGCCAAACGATGAGATTCTGGGGGAGAGAAAAGGGCGTGCGGGCGTCCTCAGGGGCACCCTCACTCAGGCGACACCTTCTAAGCCCACTGAGGCTGCGAGGGCCGCTTGTTTTACCCCGAGCCGACCCCAAGGCCCGGGTCAGCCCGGCGGGCGGTGGGTGGCGGCTGTGTCCATCCACTTCCCGCGCCGGAACGGGAAGGGAGGGCGAGCGAGCCCAGGGCCTAGTCTCCATCACTCCTGCCAGGGACACAAACGGAAGGGACTCCTAAGGAAAAGCGAGCCGCTGGACTAGTTACCTGAGATACGTGAGAGAGTCCCGCACGAGGGTCCACGCCGCACTCTTGAATCGGAGCAATCCGTCCGGAGACACCCACACCAGCCGCCGAGCTCCTTCAGCGTGCGCCTCACGCGACCCTACCGCGCATGCGGAACCGCCTCGCACTGCGCAGGCGCCGACGGGAAAGGCCCCTCCTCACCACATGGATCATAGAGTTTGAGTCCTCCAAGAACAAAAAGAGTGTCAGCCCCTTACAGAAGGACTTGGAAAGGTCGTTTTATGATTATTATTTTGCTAAGTAATCTCCAAGGCGTAAGGAAAGATGCAGGATTCATTCCTTATTTCTAAAGAGCAAATCTCTCAGCGTTTAAATCAGCCATAAGATGGCGCTGTAACTAAAAACGAAGAAACAAAGACGGAAGGAGAGAAGGCGTGTGAACCTCTCTCCTCTTCTTTCATGCAACGCGGACAGCGATTTGTGCAGCGGCCTGGGAGGTGAGGAAGGAGGGGCTGCCAGGCGAACCGGAACTCCGCTGTGCGCGCGCCTCAACATCCGGGCATCGCTTTCGTTCCGCCCGCCTCCTCCGTCCAGGAAGCGGAAATGAGAGATGGGCACCACTGGTGCCTCCTCGCACCGGAGATCAGGTGACACAATCAGCTGACTCCGGTGTTGGGCTGGCGCTGAAGCGTACGGTATTGGAGCTGTTGCAGCCAAGGTTGCCCGAGCCGAGTGGTCAGCGTTACAATGTCAGGCAAAGACCGGATTGAGATCTTCCCTTCGCGAATGTAAGTGGCGCCCGCTGGTTCAAGGATGTCTGTTCCGAGCGCGATTCCTCCCGACCCTGGACGCCCCACTAGGGCGCCTTCCTTCCTGGGTCTGCTCCTGAACTCGACTCCCAGGGTCTTTGCGTTCGTGAATCCAGGCTCAGCCTTGCCGCCCGGGCGCACGTTCCTCCTGAGTGAACCGCGGGCAGGGAGAGCGCTCCCCGCCGGGCTTTGGCCTGCTGGCCTTGGGGCGATCCACTGTCTTTACTCCTTAATGAAGTCATTCATTCCACACACCCTTGTGGAGCCATTCTGGCTTTGCATAACGGAATCGTCGCCTCTCGATGGAGCTTCGATAAATGCTCAGTAAAAAGGAAGTTTACTGCCATGCACTCTAGGTTCTTAAGCCAGAGTGGGGATTGAATCCATTCTTAGCACGGACGTTGGATTCAATCTTGGTTTTCTTTGCTCACTTCCCAAGATCCCGTCAGTGTCACCACCTGCTATGGGAAGACTCTCGCGTTTCTGAGACATTAGCACTATTAAAACGGCACCTTTTCAGACTTTCTATTAATATTTCAGACTATTCTATTACTAGAATACCATTCATCACGTTTTAAGTGGCTTTTTATTGCATGTCTTTCTCTTCCACCAGTCTTTGTGCTCCCTCCAGGATGAAGTATCTTGATTTTTAATCTGTAGAAGATACACATACAGAGAGGGGGGTAGAACGAGGGAGAGGGACAGGGAGGAGAGAGAAAGAAGGAGGAAGAGAGAGAGAGAGAGAGAAATGTTCCTTGAGCCCATTTCTTGGAATCTGTTCAATTGTGGGCTGCCTTTTTCTTTTGGCAATGATACCCTTGTTAGGAAAAATGACAGCACCGTAGGTCCTTGGCGTGTTTGTAAAGAAAATATTCGTTTTCTCAGACGCACATAATGGTTGTGAAGAGTGAAGATTATTTGCCTCCTTCTCCTTCCCTTTGTCTTTTTGTTAGGGAAGAAGGAATTCAGTTTTGCCTTTGGCTATTGTGTTTTTAACTTTTTGTGTTTTTTCTTATTGTGTTTCTCCTCATTCTATCCTTTTTCTCACAGAATTGGGGACACAATATAAAATGCTTACAATCAAACCCCAAACTCTGCTTGCTGGGGTAGGGTGTCTCCAGCTCTTAAAATTGTTACATTTGATTTTACCTTCATCCCATCGATTTTTCTAGTGGTTGGTTTTACTAGGTGGGAAATCTTCATTGAAAGGCAATGCCTGTAGAATAGATTAAGATCAGAAATAACCTGGGATGAAGTCAAAACTCCCCGAATATCCTCCCAAATCTCTGTACTGAAGGCCTGTAATCTCTGGAGGTGGAGGAGCAAAGTTTGGGGCTTACCCAGGCAAAAGTTTAGCAAGACCTCATCCCAGTCAGTAAGCCAGATGTGGTGTTTCACATCTGTCATACCCACCCATGGGAAAGATCAAAGTTGGAGGCCAGCCCAGGCAAAGAATGTGATATTCTACCTGGAAAAGAACAAGCAAATAGAGCTGGAGGCAAGGCTCAAGTGGTAGAGTACTTACCTAACAAATGTGAGGGCCTGAGTTCAAACACTCCGGTACCATCAAATAAAGTGCCATTGAGTTAGTGAGCACAGAGCATCAGCCTGGCGCGAACAGGGCACTAGATTTGATCCGTAGCACCAAAAAATAAATATACCAGCAGTTCAAAGCTGCTAGGGGAATTAACTATTTGTTCTAGTCAACACCTGGATTGATACATCTTGAACTCCTTTCTTCGAGAGCATTTATTTAAAAAAGTTTACATTTAATTGCTATCCCTTTGAAATGTAATTATTAGGAAGGATAGGGTATCTCAGTTTCTGGGGCAGGATAGAATCTTAACTTTCATAATTGCCAGCTAGCAGACATACCTGGTAATCACTTGACACTGACCAACCCTTTTAATCATTACTCATTTCACTGACTACTTGAGGCATGCTGTCTCCTTCCATGTAAAATGTCCAGTCACCTGTGTACAAATCTGAGTGGAGCTCAGCTCTTTCCTCCACTGTCAGTGGTTATCAAATAAAATGATTTTTCAGTATTTTAACTAAAGTCTGGTTATATATAATCAGTAGAATGCTAACATATTTTTGTCTTTATTTTGGAACTTGTAGACCAACAGGTGAGAATGGACTTCTTTGAGCTTAGAAAAGAAAAATGATAGGTTTGTGAAGGTGAAAACTGCTGTTTAAGAGTGTCTGCCATGCTAATTGAGAGGAAAATCAGATGCATGAAGTAAATATTTTCCCCAAAGCTTGACAGCCAATTCTTTGTCATGTAGTCAGATGTTTTTGATTCAGTGGAAAAGAAGTCATTGTCTTATTTGAAGGTCAAAATTTTTTTTTCTTGGTAGAGCTGAGCCAGTTCTGAAGCATATAAACGATGAGGTTTTGATTATCCTGGTTACAGTCCATTTTATTGTATGAGCCTGGGGAATGTTGCTTTCATTCACTTTTACACCATGAAAACAAGTTTAGAATGGAAGCTTCATGCCTCCTTAGGCATGAAAGATTCATGTTCAAAAGAACTTACACGAATCCTGGTTCCTACTACATATTAGCTGTGAGTGCTTGGCCAAATCACTCTTGAGAGTATCAATAATTGAGGGCTGGAGGTATGGCTCTAGTAAGAGATTGCCTGTCTGTTAAGCACAAGAACCTGAGATCAAACTATGGTCTCACAAAAGAAAAAAAGTAATCAATATTGAAAAGCAACTTTTGCCAGTTGCATTGGTGATCAGGAGGGCCATGGTTTGAGGCCACCCCGGCAAAAGGTTAGCAAGACTCCTGTCTTACCAAAAAAAAGCTAGACATTCTGGGTGGCTCATGTCTGTTATCCAGCTATGTAGGAAGCGTAAGTAGGAAAGGTGGCCTGGGCCACCCCTCTTCCCAGGAAAGGAGCTGAGAAAGTGAAGAGAGCTGAGGGCCAGTGGCTTAAGTGGTGCCTAACAAGCGTAAGGCTCAGAGGTCAAATAAATCCCAGGTCAAAACAACCCCCAACCCGGATATACAGACACAGACATAGACACACACACAATAAAAAGAGATCAAACTCTAATTGAAGCCTCTAATTGAAAATTAGAGTCTAGTTGAAAAGTCTCTAATTGAAAATTGTCCCATTTCACAGAGGTGCCATTATCCAGGAGGAAATTTAAATCGACAGAGTAAACTCAGTTTCATCAGTCTGTTCACTTTTCTAATTTAAACTTACTAGAATCTGTAGTACTGGGATTTCACCCCTTTTGTTCCGGATAACTCTTTAAGCCGAAATTCTGGTATTTCATGTCAACAAGAGAGAATGTTAACTGTACATATTGGGGTGGATAACTCCTGCTCAGACTGGAAACGGAACCGGCTGCACTAGATTAGACTTCTGCTGAGACCAGTCAGTGCTAAGTCTGCCACTGCTAACTGCTTTCCAAAGACTGTTCATCTGCTGCTTTTGCTGCTTTTTTTTTTTTTTTTTTTGTACTAAAGTTTGAACTCAGGGGACTTCAAGTCTTGCTAGGTAGATACTCTAGTTTGACCCATACCTCTAAGCCATTTTTTTCCTCTGCTTACTTTTGAAAAAGCATTTTTTTTTGCCTGGTCTGGCCTGAACTGATATTTTCTATTTAATATTTTGCCTGTCGCTAGTATAAGTGCATGCTACAATGCCCAACATTTTTTTTTTTCTGTTGAAATGGGGTCTTGTGAACTTCTTGCTACGACTGGCTCGAACCTAGATCCTCCAGCTCTCTGCCTCCTAGCCAGGATAACAGGTGTGAATCATTTTACCTTGGCCAAATTCCAAACTTTTGTGTGGTTGCTGTGCTGTAGATTGAACCTTGAGCCTTGTGAATGCTAGGTAAGCATCGTTCAGCTTCCAAATTTCAATCATAGACTGTGGTATAGAATTTTTCTTTATATCTCTTTAGTGGCAACTGAAACATTATTAAATATCATTTAAATTACAAAACAAATACTTAGATTATGCTAGCATCAAAATAAGGTTTTTGGTAATTTTTATTAGGATTTATAATTGCCTTTTCATATATTGATTGTAGAATTGTTTTTATTGTAAATAAACTTGTTATAGAACACTGATGGTAGAAAACTGTAGCATTAAGAAAACAGTTGAAAATGGTGCTGGCAAAATAGGTTTAACACCTGTAGAAAAGTAAAGCTAGATCCTTATATATCACCTGCACCAGAATCAGCTCCAAATGGATCAAAGATCTTTTTTTTTTTTTTTTTTTAAATTTTTTTTTTGGTCCAGTCGTGGGGCCTGAACTCTGGGCCTGGGCGCTGTCCCTCAGCTCTTCAGCTCAAGGCTAGCGCTCTACCACCTGAGCCACAGTGC